AAAAAAAAAGCATAAGATTACATACATATGAAAAAATGCACATTTTTATAACTGTGTTTCTGCTCAGGTACGACTATGATGCAGATGAAGCCTCAGATGACCTTGAGTCTTCAGATACGTTGTGGCATGAGGAGGAGCAGGCTTCACTAAGACAGACCCTCAAAACCGTCCAGGCCCAGTTTGCAAGTGAGCGCTATCGGAGAGAAGAGGCAGAGCGAGAGGCTGAGCTGCTGGCCGGCGAGAATGCAGCGCTGGAGCAGCAGCTGGCAGGGATGGAGGGATGTCAGGTATGGCTGTCTCACAAAAAGCCTATCAACTATGGATAGATTATTGAATGGGCTTACCATGCTGATATGCAAGGGCCCAAGTGACTTTTGTCTTTCCAGAGATAGTTTTGACACATCATTCATTCTTCTTAAGCATCACTGATTCATGTTTCTCTTTTCTTCAGGCCAGAGTGTCTGAGCTGGAGCATGAAGCAGAGGAACTTCGCCAGTTCTGGAAATCAGAATCCTCCTCGAGATCCAGCAGGCCAGACACCGTCCACAGCTTGCTGCTGCTGGGCTCAGGGTTCCTTAATCTAGAGGAGGATGAGGGGGAGGCAGCTGCAGCTAAAAGCCACTGCGTCCTGAAGCACTGGGACAGTGAGTGGCTGAAAGCAATGCAGATGTCCGACTCTCCTGACAGGATCTATGACCACGAGTGCTCCTGCGTGCGCCGGGCTGAGGTGGTGAAGGATCGTGGGATCTCGCTGCTCAATGAGGTCGATGCCCAGTACAGCGCCTTGCAGGTGAAGTATGATGAGCTGTTGCGGCACTGCCACCAGGAGGATGAGCAGGACAGGTTGAGCCATAAATTTGTCCAGACTGTGACAGACGCAGATGACTTTCACCAGCCAGAGTACAAGGAGCTTTTCAGGGAAATTTTCTCCCGCATTCAGAAAACCAAAGAGGACCTGATTGAAAACAGGGGGAGACCCTCGGCTAGTGAAGCGCTGCCTGTTTTACAGTAGCCACTTCGACAAAAAGGAATGAAAAACACCTGCTGCAAGATTAATCGTCTTCCACTTACAGAGCGACTCTTTGGAAAGACTTAGCACATCTACACTTTACTGTGTTATCGCCATGATTCAATGCAAAGGCGTTTGAGATGGGTGTGATGCAGGAACTAGAAGGCCAAACACCGCTGGCTCGTGTGGCAGATGTGGCTCAGTTTGCACAGAAACACCAGTGCCTATCACCACTGTCTCTACTGTACCATAACTCTGCCTCACTTTGTACAACCCTGCTTTTAAATAAGCTCCTGAGGAAACCATTTTTGGACAAGAATCTGGTTTCCTATAATTTCCTAGAAAGAAACAGACATGTAAAGTTTATGTAAAAGCATTAATTGGTACAAATCATAGAGAAAAGGGAGACTGTTTATTGCTGGTGAGTTAGAAAGTCTTGTATTAGCTGCACAGTGGGTCATCTGAGCATGCAATAATATAAAGTTTGTCTAAATTAAATTATATACAATTGTACATATAGAAAATCTACTTTCTAGTTACATCCTTGTTTATTTCTATAGGAAACAACTGCTTCAGGTGAGTGCAACTGATGTTTTCATTACTGATTCACCTGGTGATTTTTAATTACTTGATATTTAGGCTGTATAATGTCAGAAAATACAAGTCCATCAGAAATTCCCAGAGCTCCGCATCATGTTTTCAGATCACGTTTTGTCCGTTTACAATAATATAACATGGATAAACAGCAAATCGTCACATTTGAGACACTATTTCAGGCAGTTTACCTTGAAATAGTGTTAATAAGTTAATTATGAAAAGAGTTGACAATTTCCCATCAATCAACTGTTTTAATTCTAGACTACTTCTAAAACTTACCATACGCAGCTTTCAGAGCTTTTCATCTCTTTTCCCTGTAATTAGTTCCAAATTACAACCCTGTTTACAGGACACCTCCTAGACTGTTGATAAGAAATTACAAATCTGTGCTGTATTGTATTTGATTTACTGAGCTTCTGTGATATGTGATCTTTTAAATTTATAGCAGTTAGAAAAAAAAGTAGCTTTCTTGGTGATAGTTTTGCCTGTGACTATATGAGTGATCAAATCAAAAATTACCAATATAATATCTGATATTTTGGTAAAGGCGTTTATAAGTAAAAGCCAGTGATTCAAGGTGCTCAAATATACCCTGTTAGGATTGTTGTAACATGTACTTCTCTAACATTATACTTGATTAGAAGCTTTCTCAGCAGCACCTGTTTTGCCTTTGCTGCCTGACCTGTGTGTGTCCTTGTTAAGCTTAAAGGCTGAGAACATATTTGTCGATGTCATGTTGGAGATGCACTTTAGAACTGCACGGGCAATGCTCTTCTGACACTTTGTTTGTGTCACATATAGTTAATGTAAGTGTGATGTGCTGCTGTTTATGTACCATGCGTTTTTGCTTGTTTCATGACTGGACCTCAAGGTTAATGTTACTGATCTGAGCCATAAAACATGAAGCAAGCTGAGACAGCAGGTTTGTGTCTGGTTTTTATTGTCAGTCTGTTGTGAATGTGACCCAAATCACAACCAGGGTGATACCTGACTGCTCTACTGTGAAATGAAAGGGCAAATACAGATTAATACAGAAACAGCCCCTAGCAACCACTGTAAGAAGTCTACTGAAATAGATATTTATTAGAGCTGTTGGTGCTGCTTTACAGGTGAGGACAGTTCAGAATTAAAGCCTTTTATGGAAGCCCAGTGTGTTTAATAATAAATAAAACATTGAAATTACTAATCATGAATAATTTGTGTAAAATATATATTTTTACAGAAAAAATGTGAAATCATTCAGGAAATATTAAATCCTAAGTCATTATTCTGAAATGGTATTTCATTCTTAATAGAGTTTTTAGAGGTTATTTTTATTGTGTAATATTTCAAAATGCTATTTTTTTTAAAAGCCTGCTTTTATTTCATAATGCCTTTTTTATGTCCTGTTACTACGGTAGCCTAGATGGGACACTATGGTCATGCTTCTGTCTTGTGACTCTGCAATAGACATGCTCTTGAACACAGTAAACATATATTAGCACCGCTAATACTGCAAATCCCAGAATGCTTTGCTAGTGCGTTGGCGTCTCAATCGAGACCCGCAAGTACCTTCTGTTGACATTCATTAGCAACCTCATGCTACCAGTCACCTCGGGCAAATTTAATCCACTCCTCCCAAAAAATGCCCAAACGAAAGATGGACAACAGGAGCTTTCAAGACAGGTGGGAGGAAGATGATCTGTTCATTAATGTAAAGGACAGACCTGTTTGTCTTGTGTGCGGAGCCAAAGTGGCTGTAACGACAGAATATAACATAAGAAGACACTGAAACGAAACACCAAGACAAGGACCCGGACATGAAGCAGAAGCACCAGAAGGTAGAGGAGATGAAAAGAAGTCTGGTTTCACGGCAGAAAATGTTCACAAAACAATAAGAAACGAATGCCACTGATGTTTTTTTTTATTTAAATTTGATTTCTCATGTGTTTAGAATATTACGCTTTGCTTGTTCCAAATTCAGTGTTTAAGCAACTTGTTTTTCCATTATATATCTGGAGAGAAGGGAAAACATGCTAACTTTTATTCAAAATTTCAATAAATATCGAGTCTGGCCCGCAACTTTGTCCCAGTTTTTAATTTTGGCCCACCGTGTATTTGAGTTTGACACTCCTGGTCTATAGTATATTTAGCCTAGCCTAGCCTAGCTTAGCTTGTAGTTAGCCTCAGCTAACACTACCATGCAAACCCATGGAGATATAATAGTTTGTTAGCTGTTCTGCCTTTGCAGATACAGTCGGGTGTTTCTGTTAGAGAGACAGTCTCTGATGTGTGCGATATTGTCTATTAAGTTGGTGTCTAACAGGTGGAGGCTGACAGCTGTTACCATGGGGACACAACACCACGGCTTTGGGAAACGCTCCTCTGAGTGTCATCACTCCCAGTTCATGAGTGTTGGTACCATCTGTAGTCTCAAACCCTGCCAGTCACATTCTGCAAATTTTGGCTGTCTAGTTTTTACTGTACACGACCATCACATGCAGCTACCGCTCTTTCTGTTCTCTGAAATAAGAACAGCTGATTTCTTTAACAACAATCACAATCCCATGATTTTTCTCACACAGATATTTTAATAATGTATTACTTGACATTTACATATGTTGTAAAAAGCTGCTGGAACTAGGTTTGAGAGGAATAAATAATCTTTGTTTTACATCAAACAAGCTTCCTATTAATGCAAGTCATCCAGAGACATGTTTTTTATGCCATTTATTTTGGCTGATGCAAAAACTCTGATAGCAACAGATAAGTCAGCCAGTAAAATCATCAGAAGCCTACTTTTGTGTGACATGAAAGATCCTTTGTGTCAAAAATTAAGATGAATTTTGAGTGGTAGTATAAACTGTT